GCCATGTTGGCTGCATGCAAGGCAAACGCCCTACCACTGTGCTGTCACTCCAGCCCATGCTATCGCTCCAGCCCAACTGAAACCCAAGCACAAAAATTTGTAAGTCTACAACTGTACCTCATGGTGTTTCACTAATAAAAATTTAAGGAAAAAAATTACTTTGCTTCACAAAAAAATTTATGTATGTGCTATAGGTACATTAGAATTTTTACATCATTATTAGTGGGATTACATAAACAAGGTACATTATACCTGGTCACCAGATCACCAGGTGGATGATATAAACTTAGTGTATTATAATAATCTCTAGAGAGATGACCCTGTGAAGGTAATGACTTGTAAAACTGTGATACTTATGGTTGCCAACAAGATTAGACTTCGTACTTTGATACACGAGTTTGTTGTAGAAATGAAGATAAGCCTGATTTTAACAATGAAATCACAGTCATCATGTGAATGATGCAGAAGCAATATAGGTATCTTTCTGGTTACTAGAGACACGAGATAGATTGACTGTAACTTCATGTAGGGTTATCACATGATATAGATGTCATGTAATATTTTTCATCTTCAGAAGACATATAAAGTAGAATCATCTCATCAAAGTGAACTTGAAAAACAGCAAATGTGGTTGTTTGATGCCTTACATAGTAGTAGGGACTTAAAACACTGGCCAAGGATATAATTGAAATGGAGTACAACAAGAGAGTTGAAGTATTTGTGAAGACACAAATATATCATAGTGTTACAAGGGGTTATAAATGAAATGATATCACATAAGATTGACAGGTAATGATGCATAAATTGCACAGTATCTTACCTATTTGTCAGGAATGCATGCTTCTAATGAATATAATATATTCTTTGGTATCGTAAACTATTCACCTAGCCATGAGAAAGATGGTGCATACATAATGTAGCATCTTACTTGGTCAGTACATAGCATAGCCATAGGCAATGATCAGTGTTGCATCAGTGAAATAAATGCGCAACATAATCACCAGTAGATTTCAGGGATATCATGTAGATATAACACAAAATCAAACTTGGTTTTAAAGAGTTGGATGAATACCCACCATAGAATTATATAGAGTTTTCTAGATTATGAAGATAATATTTAATGTAGCAAGGGTCCCAGGGAGATTATATGGACATAATATAAAGGTATACATAGTCAAAAGAGAAACTGCACATATAGTGTAGCACCAATTAGAGCTATTAATATGATGATATAGACAGTATCAAATCATTCATGGGAATCACTCATGTGAATCACTCATGTAATTTTTTTAATAGAGGTATGGCATAGTATTCCGTAGGTTAATCACAAAAATTAGCATTTGGCTATAAAAGAGTGTCATTTTATTATCACACTATCAATCGTGAAAGATAAAAGATAAAAGAACTGGCAGAGGAACCCAGGTGTGTGGGACCCGGGGCTAAGATCTCCAAGCCTGCACGGTTTGGGACTGGACCTGTCAGTAGCTAGACAGTTACACCCACCAACTGCTGTGTAACCCCAACAACGGCCAGGATCCAGGGATTATCACAAGCTCCTGGGAGCGCGTGGCCGCATTTGCGGCCACACAACTATTTATTTGCTTTTCTCTAAGTTTTCAGGGTACCTTTAAATATCCTGCCCACATGGCAAGCTATCCGTGGTCTATGCCAAATAGACCAAATTGATATGCCAAATCCAGTAAAAAATGGATCTCATTCCCCTGACCCTGAATATGGCAGAGTTGAGAAGGATGTGGAAGGAGAGGCTGAGAAAATCCCAAGGCAGAAATAGGCTGCCAAAATGAAGAAAGACAAAAATGATTGTCTGTACTTTTAATGCTCGTACGCTGACATCTGCTGCATCCATTGAGGACCTGATGGTACAAGCACGAAAGATCAAGTACGACATCATTGGTCTGACCGAAATGAGAAGACATCAGTCACATCATGCCATTTTCGACACTGGAGAAAAACTGTTCCTTGGAACATGTGATAAAAGAGGCATCGGTGGTGTCGGTATCCTTGTCAACACAAACTTAGCCATGAGCATTGATTCATTTGAATGCCTAACAACCTGAATCAGACGATTACACTTGAATAGATGTGGCTCACTACCGGCAGTTTCTATCTTTGTTGTCTATGCACCAACATCCAGTTATGGTGAAAGAGAAATTGAGAAGTTCTACATGGAGCTGGAGAAGTTCTATAAAGAAGATCACACCTTCTACAAGATCATTGTCGGTGATTTTAATGCTAAAATAGGACCAAGAAGATCAGCCAATAAACTCCACATTGGGACCCATGGCCTAGAATGGAATGAACAGGGTGAGAGACTGTCTGAGTTCATCATGTCAAACAAGACCTGCCATGGTAACTCACAGTTCCAAAAGGCTGAATCTAAACGTTGGACATGGGAGTCTCCTAATGGACGGTTCCACTACAAAATAGACCACATCATATTAAATCAGCAGTTTTGCCTAATCGATGTTACTGTTGTCCCAAAATTCCAAACGGGATCAGACCACCGTCTCCTTCGTGCAAAATTCTACCTCACAGAACGAGGAGAAAAGAATGCAAGGTTTAAGAAGAGGACTCCCAGAACGACCACCAACTGGGAGCTCTTTGGCTCTGTTGCGGCAACATGGGAAGATGCCGTCATTGACAACATTGATGAGGAATACGATCGAATGATTCAGCACCTCCATGATTGTGCGAGGAATGCCAAGAGAGAGATAACCACAAAAAACCACCTTTCTTCGAACACTCTTGAACTTATTCGCCAACGTGACTTGGCACATGCCTCAGGCAACCACAAGCGAACATCCGAGCAGACAAAACAATGCAGAGAAGCCATCAAGGATGACCTCAAAAACAGGAGAGCAGCAGTGCTGGTAGATGCAGCAGAAGCTGGGAAAAGCATTCGTAATGCCCGCCTGTCCTTCACCAACTACAAGACCAAGATGATTGCCCTCTGACATCATGATGGATCTATCACATCTTCCAGAAGGGCAATGGAGAAGATTATTTATGACTTCTACGCAGATCTCTTTAATAGCCATTCCACTTGCCCACATACACATTCCACATAATGGATATGTCGTTCCCAATGTTCTCCCTTCCGAAATACAACATGCCATCTCGTCGGTAAAGAAACAAAGGGCACCTGGCCTAGACAAGATCAGACCTGAACACCTGAAGAACTTACCATCAGTGCTCATCAATACACTGGCTCAGCTCTTCACATGCTACCTGTCTGAATGCAAGGTTCCATCCCAATGGAAAACCAGCAGGACTGTACTACTATACAAGATGGGAGACATCCATGACATTGGCAACTATAGCCCAATCTGCCTATTCTCTGTCATCTACAAACTGTTCACTAGAGTCATCCTGAATAGGATTAGCAGAACACTAGATGGAGGACAACCATGTGAACAAGCCGGATTCCGAAAAGGATTCAGTACCATCAACCACATCCACACGATTACTAAGCTCATTGAGGTTTCTCGGGAGTTCAGGATGCCGCTCTGTCTAACGTTCATTGATTTAAAGGAGGCCTTTGATTCTGTTGAGACAGAAGTGGTCATGGAAGCCCTAGCCAATCAGGGCATACAAACTCAATACATCAGAATCCTTCGTGAACTCTATTGCAGATTCACTACCAGGATCTCACCATTCTACAAAGCAGTAATCATCCATGTCAAGAGAGGGGTTGGGCAGGGTGATACCATTTCACCAAAACTCTTCAGTGCCACCCTCGAGAATATCATGCGACGACTGGAATGGGAAAGCATGGGAGTGAAGATAGATGGTCGGCAACTACAGCACCTCCGCTTTGCTGATGACATCATTCTAATAACACCAAACATCAGCCGAGTGGCACAAATGCTGAACGACTTTGACCATGACTGTGGAAAGGTCAGACTACAGCTGAATCTTACGAAGACAATGTTTATGAGAAACAGCCTTGTTCCTGATGCTCCATTCGCTCTCAATGGAACCACCATCTCCGAATGCAACAGTTATATATACCTAGGTCAAGAAATCAACATGATGAATGACCTGGCACCTGAGTTGCGCAGGAGGAAGAGAGCAGCTTGGAATGCCTTCAAGAGTGTTGAAGAAATAACTAAGAGGACAAAGAACCTCCAGCTACGAACACATCTCTTTGATTCCACTGTTCTTCCTGCATTAACATATGCCTCAGAGACCTGGGCCTTACGAAAACAGGATGAGAATGCTATTCAGGTCTCTCAAAGAGGAATCGAAAGAGCTATGCTTGGAATATCACGATTCACTCAAATGAGAGATAGAATCCGGAGTTCTGACATCCGTCGACGATCAAGGATCAGGGACGCTGTCTCATTTGCCAAGGCATCAAAAATCAGATGGGCTGGACACGTAATGAAGTTTACAGACAACCGCTGGACTAGAGCCATTACTGATTGGATTCCACGGGACATCAAAAGATCACGTGGACACCCACCTACAAGATGGTTAGACTTTGTCAAGACCCTGAATGGTAGGTTTGAGGCTCTGCATGCTCCTAGAACGAACAGATACCACTGGGCTACGCTAGCCCGCAACCGGGATGAATGGAGACGTTACTGGCACCCTTTCAAGTTAATCGATGAATAACGGGGATTAAGTGATTAAGTGATTAAGTGACTATCAATCATTGAAGAGTAGTATAATGTCATGACCATCAGGGAGTTTAGCCAGAATATAGTCTTATGTTAAGCTCTCATGATGATGGAAACTCAGAATAAGAATATAAGTGACTATCAAGAAGATAATCAATGTTGTATAGCAACATATAAAGTTCTCAAGAATATATTATAAATATGGTATAGTAACATCCACAAATGCTCTAAAGATTATACATGTATAGTTTCTATCATAAGTGGTCATGAGGGAGTGAAGCTACAGTTTATAATTATACATGTTTACTAAACAAAACATAAATCCCCATAGATTAAATTTATAAACAAATTTCCTACCATCAGCTGAAGCTGTTGCAATGAGCTTTCCAGTGTAATCAAAACAGCTGTCTAGGATTTCATCATCATGGTCTGTTAATGTTGCTACACATTTTCCATTTGTAGCATCCCATAGCTACAATTAAGAAAACAAAAAATATATATATATATATATATATATGGTCCTTTCTAAAGTGTAAAAAGTGGCCATAAATCATCTTTATTATGTGCTAATGGCAAGTTAAATAGCTTCCTCAGAATCATGTTTACATTTTACCTATTTTGTTAATTAATTAAACCTAGATTCATGACAACAAAGCCCATAGCTAATCACCTAACAAAATGCATAGCCAATCACCTAACAAGGCACATCTTTGTCTAACAAAGATAGACATTTAGAGTGGATCAATTCATATTTGCTACTGTATTAGGAAAAAGTCCTAAGTACAAGCTTCATTGAGCAGAACTGAAGTATCCTGTTTTTGTATGAAGTCATTAAATGATAAATATAGAACTCGATCTAAAAGCATAGTGCTAATAATTGAAAACTAGGTTAAGATTATCATGCCTTTGATGCATAATAAAGTAATAATCCCAGAACACAAACCCAGAGTAACTTGGAGCTGCTGTACTACAAATTCTGAGATGAATCTTTGTTCTGAACAATGAATCTGATCAATCAATGGAAAGAAATTAAACAAAAATGACATATATCTAAAATTTTAAATAAGATCTTTCAGAACATCTGAATCAATTGAAATTATTTTACTTCTTAGCATTATTGTTCCTTGAAACTTGGGGAATTCAGTAACTTCACATAAAAACTGCCAACTTTTGATAGTAGAGTGAGTGATAGTACACTGGGTAGGGCACTTGCCCTGATGCCTCGTATGATTCCCCAAGCATCTTCAGGAATGATCTCAGAGCATGGCTGAGACTGGTTAAAAAATACACACACACACACACACACACACACACACACACACACACACACACACAAATACGAACACACACACAACTATGAATTCTTAAATCACAAATTTTTAAGCTAATATCTTAATTTTACCGGAATATTTTTTAGTTTGCTATTTATTTATTTAAATTTTATTGAATCACTGTGAGAAAGTTACAAGCTTTCATGCTTGGGTTACAATCACACAATGATCAAACACCCATCCCTCCATTAGTGCGCATTCCCCACCACCAATCTCACCAGTATACTCCTCTTCCCCACCCTCCCCCTGCCTCCATGGCAGACAATATTCCCATACTTTCTCTCTCCTTTTGGGCATTATGGTTTGCAATACAGACACTGAGAGGTCATCATGTTTGGTCCATTATATACTTTTGGCACACATCTCCCAACCTGACTAATTCCTCCAGCCATCATTTTCTTAGTGATCCCTTCTCTATTTCATCTGCCTTCTCCCCTCCACTCATGAGGCAGGCTTCCAGCTGTGGGGCAATCCTCTTGGCTCTTGTATCTACTGTCCTTGGGTGTCAGCCTCATGTTATGTTATTCTGTACTCCACAAATGAGTACAGTCCTTTTATGTCTGTCCCTTTCTTTCTGACTCATTTCACTTAGCATGATACTCTCCATATCTATCCACTTATAATCAAATTTCATGACTTCATCTCTCCTAACAGCTGCATAGTATTCCACTGTGTAGATGTACTAAAGTTTCTTTAACCAGTCATCTGTTCAAGGGCACTTGGGTTGATTCAAGATTTTGGGTATTGTGAACAGTGCTCCAATGAACATATAGGTACAGATGTCATTTCTAATGTGCTTTTTTGCATCCTCAGGATATATTCCCAGAAGTGTTATTGCAGGGTCATATGGAAGCTCAATTTCTAGTTTTTGAAGGACTGTCCGTATTGTTTTTCCAGAAAGGCTAGAACCAGTCGGCATTCCCACCAACAGTGAAAGAGCGTCCCTTTCAATGGGCTAGTTTGCTATTTATACAATGACTATATAGCACTGTAGCACTGTCCCCCTGTTGTTCATTGATGTGCTCAAGTGGGCACCAGTAATGTCTCCATTGTGACACTTGTTGTTTCTGTTTTTGGCATATCAAATACATCCCGGGTAGCTTGCCAGGCTTTTGCCATGTGAGCAGGATACTGTTGGTAGCTGTAGCTTGCTGGACTCTCTGAGATGGGAGGAGGAATCAAACCCAGGTTACCCGCATGTAAAGCAAATGCCCTACCCGACTAAAAAAATTACAGATACAAAAATTGTAAAGCACAGATAATGCTTGAACTCACCATGCAGGTTTTATCCATTGAGCCCGTTAATATCAGAGAGCAATCCCAGTTGAATAAGGCACTACTGATCTCCGCAGAATGCCCAATTAAGGTGAATACCTTCCTAGAAAGTAGAAAAGGCTTAACTGTGAAGGTGAAGATTTCTCACTTTAGTATATGCATGATGGGCATGATAAGTGATGATGCCAAGACCATCAGTCTTGATTCAGTCTAGAGTTTACATTCTAGTTCTATAAAACAATATCTTTTGGAGCAAAGGAAATATGTTTTCACTGTAGCTACAAATAATGAGAGATAAGACATAGTAAGACAACATTCTAAGAACAGGGTAGAAAAAAAGAAAGTCATTCTAAAAGTCTTCTCATACCTGATGAGTGGACCTTGGCTGCACATAAAATACACATCTATGCATTAAAAACCCTCCCCTCTCATTTCTTGTGGCATTCTTGATGGGGACCTTTGTTAAAGAGCCTGAGAGAGGAGTTTTACAACACAAATCAATGGATTCAGTTAATGTCTTGGCCACCAGGATCAAAACTATCTAAAAAGGAGATAACAGTTTGGGGTCTGAAAGATTATTCAGAATATTCCTCAGTTCTTGTCCAGTGTGACTATTCCCAGCTATTATTGTCATATTGGTCTCTTTTCTACCTTACCTACTCTCAGCCCCACACACACTTGTAGTTAGTTCCAACCATTGACCAGTCTTCCTAACCTCTGTTTTCCCTGGCCATGGATATTATTCTTCTACTATTTATATAGTTTTATATACCACAAGGTGGAGGGATGGGTGTTGGAATACTTATACACTGGATGACTGAAATCCAATCATGAACAGCTTTGAAAAAAATTTTTTTAAAGTTTGGGGGTTGAATTAAATATGAAAAATTATCCATGGTTTTATTTTTCTACAATATCTGAGCTACTATAATAGCACTGATATTTGATGACACATTATACATGGAATAAATATAATGAGGTTATTGCTAATGTTCTCCTTTTGTGCTGTTATTCTGACGTATTTGTCCAGAATACATCAGAACACCAGCACAAAATGTTTTCCAGAATTCCAAGAAAACATTTGTGGATGAGCAACACGGTTACAGAATACATTTAATTTTTAATATCACCTAGTCCTATAAAATTCCAAACATATCCCAAACTAGGTTAGGCAAATAACAAAAATGGTCTTTTATACTTTCTGGCCCAGTTTAAAAATTCTCAAAAATCAAGGGTACCTTCCAGTATCTGCGTCCCACACTGCAACTGTGTGATCAAAAGACCCCGTGATGATTCTGTTTCCTGGGGTGTTAAATGACAAAGAGATGATTTCAGCTGAATGTCCCTAAAAAATGAGGAGGTATGTCAGCAGATCTTCTACAAGTATACAATATCATAGTTTGAAATAAGATGTGAGAGAAGGCAAAACTATCAAGTAATTTCTTACTGTAGAAGACCTGTGCTATCGCTCCAGGGCTGGAGTGATAGCACAGCGGGTAGGGCGTCTGCCTTGCACGCAGCCAACATGGCCGACCCGAGTTCGATTCCTCCGCCCCTCTCCCAGAGCCCAGCAAGCTACCGAGAGTATTCGATATGCCAGACACAGTAACAACAAAGTCTCCAATGGAGACGTTACTGGGCCCGCTCGAGCAAATCGATGATCAACGGGAGGGCCTTTACTTTACTTTACTTAGAAGACCTGTAGGAACCTTGGGGCAAGAGAAGAGGTAACCATGCATTTGGGTAGCATGAATGGAAATTTTCAGTGATTAGGTTTTGATGACTTCACAATCCTATAAATACATGGAAAATTGATCTGTGAACAAAACCAGTCCATTTTAAGCCAGTAACTGAGGTTTATGAGCTTTTGGGTTTAGGGGTACATGGGGTTGGATTTGAAATAGAGAAGGACCACTCAGTATGAGTAATGGAACCTAGGGTTCATATTCAGAGCATAGACTCCAGGCCTTTCAGCCATCTCCCCTGTAAAGGTTTGCTTGTTTCTTTCTTTGTTTTTTGAGACAAGGGAATATACTTTGGGAAATCAGATTTTTTTCGAAGGACAATACTCCTTTTACATTGTCATGGTAACAGTTGACAAAGACCTCTGCTTTATGAGATAATGAAAAGTGATGGTCAAAAGAAAAATGTTTGTGAAATAAAGTTGATGCATTTTAAAAGGAATTTCTAGATGACTGGATAAATATGGTACATCTATACAATGGAATACTACATAACTGTGTGAAAAATGAAGTCATGAAATTTGCCTATAAATGGATGGACATGGAGAATACCATGCTGAGTGAAAGGACTCAGAAGAGGAAAAAACATAAAATGAGTGCATTCATTTGTGATATATAAGAAAAGAAGTATGAGACTAATATCCAGGCCAAGGCAAACAGGGGCCAGGAGGACTGGTCAGTGGTTGGAATCCACAAATATGTGGGGGGCAGACAGTAACTAAGATAGAGAAGGGACCAGTATGACAATAATAATTGGAAATGATCACGCTGGACAAGAACTGAGTGTTGAAATAATTAAAGGGATATACATGATAGCCTTTGAGTATCTGTATTGCACACCATAATTCCAAAAAGGAGAGTCAGGAGAGAGAGAGAAAGAGAGAGAAAGAGAGAGAAAGAGAGAGAGAGGAAAGGTACTTGCCATACAGGAAGTCTGGGAGAGCATTTGGGGTGACGGTAGGGAAACAGAGGACACTTTGATGGGAAACATACTTTGGTGGAGGGATGGGCCTTGGAATACTGGGTGACTGAAACTCAATCATGAATCTCATGGTGATTCAATAAAAATTTTTTTTAAAAAGAAGGAAATTCTTACAATAATTTTACATGAACTACACTAACAAACATATAGCTTTTGGCAAGGCTTTCAATGGATTGCAGAGTCAAGACTCTGGGAAGAAGACTTCCTATGGCATAAATTCCTTAAAGCATACCCCTCATTTTCTCATTATGTCAATAAATCAACATAATTACTTTCTACGTTTAAAAAAAGGGTTCAATTAAACATTAAATTCTGCTTAGCTCCATACGAAAAAAAATTAAATGCAGCTGACAAAACCTCTGATTTGTGCACACCTATATTCATCAAGGTGCTATTTAGAGTTGCTTCAAGGTCTGGAAGCAACCCAAGTGCCCACCAACATGTGAGTGGATGAGAAGTGGTCCATATGCACAATGAAATCCCACGCAGCTACCAGCCGAGATGGCATCTTGCCAGATGCAACAACATGAATAGAATCACAGGAGGGTCAGCCTCAGTGAAATAAACCAGAAGGCAAAAACACAAATACCAACTGAATTCTCCCACCCACGGCCTCCATAGAAATCAAGCAGGGAAATAGACATGGCCCAGTTAAGACAAACACTTATGGGGCCTGAGTGATAATACAGCGGGTAGGGCATTTGCCTTGCACACGGCCAACCCAGGTTCAATCCCCAGTATCCCACCGGTCCCCCAAAGCACCATTAGGAGTGTTTCCTGAGTGCAGAGCCAGGATTAAACCCTAAGCATTGCTGGGTATGACCCAAAATAAAATAAAATAAAATAAAAGACAAACACTTACATTCTGACTTTACTACTGAGGTTACCAAGGGGCGCAGAGGTTGTTGGGAAGGGGGCGCTGTATATGGCAACGAATCCTTGAAGACCTGGTATGTGAGCGAACATTTCTACGAGGGGTGATACTGTACCTCTAAGATCTATTCAGTCTTGCAAACCAGTGTGATTTGGATACAAAAACAAGTAACTGTGGCTGAGCACTTCACTCAAGTGCTCAGCACATTAAGCAATGCACCCTCTGGTGGCAAACGGGTACTAAGAGCAGGGCTCTCCCACTGGGCTGCATGAAGAGGTAATGACCCACAGCCACGTGCCCTGTGATCAACATGTGTACTCATATAATAAAGCTAAGTGTGCTGCCTGCAGAAAGGAAACAAGCGTTTGGTTAAAAAAAAAAAAGTGGCATTCTGGTCTTTTAAAAAACTTATTTAGTGACTGCACTCATTTGTGGAATATAAAGTAACAGAATGGAAGACTAACATACAAGAATAATAGAGATAAGAGCCAGCAGGATGATCGCTTCACAGCTTGGAATCCGGCCTCACATCTGGGGGAAAAGCTGGGATAAAGAAGGGACCACTACGTAAATGATGCTTGGAGGGCTCACTTGGGATAAGAGATGCATGCTGAAAATAAACTATAGACCAAACATGATAGCCACTTACCACCTGTATTGCAAACCATAACACCCAAAAGGACAGAGAGAGTAAAAGGGAATGTGCCTTCCACAGAGGAGGGGGTGGGGAGGGATGAGAGTAATGGGAGGGATACTGGGAATATTGGTGGTGGAGAATGGGCACTGGTGGAGGGATGGGTACTTGATCATTTTATGACTAAAACATAATCACGAAAGTTTGTAAGTCTGTAACTGTATCTCACGGTGATTCATTTTTAAAAAATCCTTATTTAGGCAAATTTTTCCTACGAAAGGAGTCCTCCTTTTAAAAATCCATTCATGGAGCTGGAGAGATAGCACAGTGGAAAGGGCGTTTGCCTTGCACGCCCTTTTCCCAGCATCCAATATGGTTCCCTGAGCACCGCCAATAGTAACTCCTGAGCGCAGAACCAGGAGTAACCCCTGTGCATCACCGGGTGTAACCCAAAAAGAAAAAAAAATGTCCATTCATGTTCTGCAAAGAAAAGCAGATACTCCTACCCACTCTGGAGGGAATGGAGCTGTCTTCCGTAGTTCAGACCTGGGAGAGAAGTGAGGGCAGGTGCAAAGCTGTGGCAGCAACAGGCAGGTTCACTGAAATGAATCCTGTGGTTTGGTGCTCTACTGCCTTATTACCACCTGACACTTGTTCCTGACCAAAAACTTAAATATTTTTTGTGGCACAAAAGTCTCTTAAAAGTGGAGGGTTGGTTCGTACATAGTTTGTAGGAATGTTGCCTGGTTCAGCCTCTATGAAGATTTTTCAATAAATCAAAATAGATCTTCCAAAGGGCTCAGTAGTTCCACTTTTGGGCATCAATCTCTCCAAAGATAAAAAATATTAATACAAAAAGATATATGCATGATGCATTCATTGGAGGCTTTAGAAAAACAGTATGGGAACAACTCAAACATGAGACAACAGATGACTGGATTAAAAAGTTGTGGCCTGCCAGTACTCCCCAAAGGACTGTACAAATTCAATGTGATCTCTGTTATGATACCCATGACATTTTTCAAAGAAATGGAGAAAACACTCCTGAAATCCATATGAAACAATAAGCCCCCAAGAATAGCTAAAGCAATTCTTGGGAAAAAGAAAATGGGAGAAATCAACCTCCCTAGTTTCAAACTCTACTACAAAGCAGTAATAAATAAAACAGCATGGTACTGGAACAAAGACAGAGCTGCAGACCAATGGAACAGGGTTGAATATACTGACATTTCCCCCCAAGCATTTGATCATCTAATCTTTGATAAGGGGGCAAGAAACGTGAAGTGGAGCAAGGAAAGCCTCTTTAACAAATTGTTCTGGGAAAACTTGATGGCTACATGCAAAAAGTGGGTTCAAATCTCTGCCTAACACCATGCACAAAAGTAAGATCAAAATGGATTAAAGACCTCAACATCAGACCGGAATACATAAGGTACATTGAAGACAAAGTTGGCGAAATACTCCATGACGTTGAAGCTAATGGTATCTTCAAAGATGTCACGGCACTGGCCAAGCAAGTGAAAACAGAGATAGACCAATGGGACTATCTTAAACTAAGAAGCTTCTGTACCTCCAAAGAAAAAGTGACCAAAATACAAAGACAGTCTACAGAATGGGAAATGATTTTCGCCCAATACACATCTGATAAAAGTATACAAAGTACTGGTTGAACTCCACAAGAAGAAAACATCCAATCCCATCAAAAAATGGGGCAATGAAATGAACAGATACTTTCTCAAAGAAGAAATCCAAATGGCAAAAAGGCACATGAGAAAATGCTCTACATCATTAATCATCAGGGAGATGCAGATCAAAACAACAATGAGATATCATCTCATACCACAGAGACTGGCCCACATCCAAAATAACAAAAGCAACCAGTGTTGGTGCGGATGTGGTGACAAAGGGACCCTCCTTCACTGCTGGTGGGAATGCCGACTGGTTCAGCCCTTTTTGAAAACAGTATGGATGATTCTCAAAAAATTAGAAATTGAGCACCCATTTGACCCAGCAATACCACTCCTGGGAATATATCCCAGAGAGGCAAAAAAGTATAGTCGATGTGACATCTGCACTTGTTTGTTCATTGCAGCACTGTTCTGGAAAACTAGAA